GGGTGGTACATAGATGGGGGCTAAGATGGTGCAGTGAGGGCTTGTGGGTGGAGAAAGCCCTGCATTTTCAAATTGGTTAACAATATATATATATTGTTATATATATATATAACAATATCTAAGAGCATGGACAGCCATCGAATTAGAATAAAATTCACTTCCCAATATTTTTATTTTTTCCTTCGAGTTCATTTGACTACATGGATGTAATTTTTATCTACTGTAGTTTTAATCTTAGAAGGGCCACAGCTTTTAATCTTCTTTTCCCATATTATAAGCATACCCTATCCCTGTACTGTTGCTGTATATTCTTTGTGGTGATTACTTCAAGTGCCTCTATAGTATTATGCAGTGTATTGGGTTGATTGGTGAGCATCACTAACCAAGAGACATCTTGGGTCTCACTGTGTTGGAGCCAGCTCTTGTCTGTGTTTACTGTGGAGTCCTTCCCTTGGATGCAGTCTTTCCATTTCTGGAAATTTATCCACAGAAAATAATTTAAAAGGGATAATATGTCTAGTGGGAATTGGGGGGTTGCTGCAGAGGGTATTTTGAGAGAGTGCTGATCTGGAATTCTCCTCCCAGGCATTGCTTCACTGGCAGCTACCCAGTCATCGAGCCCCTGCTGAAGCACTTTCCTAACATGTCTGTGGGCTTCACTGCAGTCCTGACTTACTCCTCCGCCTGGGAGGCCCGGGAAGCTCTGAAACAGATCCCGCTGGAGAGAATCATCGTAGAAACTGATGCCCCCTACTTCCTGCCTCGACAGGTAGGAGTGTCTTCAGGCTGAGTTGAGGCACTGAGGAGAGAGGGTGGTAGGTGGGTGGTCACCCTTACAAGGTTGGCAGGGCCAGAGCCCCAGTGACTTTCAGGTCCCACCCTTGGCTATGTAGATGTCTCCTTGTTGTTGATCTGCAGAACCAAAAGTCTAGGGGGCTGAGAAGCTGAAGGGTAACCACTCTCTTCCAGGCAGTGCAAAGCCCTACCCTGTAGAGGGTAGTCCAAGGAAGCGTGGGACCCTGCTCACCCAGAGCCCCCCATGACTAGGACTCTCCCTGCACCTGCAGGTAAAGGGGTCTCTACAGGGTAGCCCCAAAGAGGTCCTTACTGGGGAAGGGCCGGGGAGGGAATTCTGTGTAATGACTGTACACAGAAGACACAGCGATGTTCTGAATGCTTGATGTCTTCCAGGTTCCCAAAAGCCTTTGCCAGTATGCCCACCCAGGCCTGGCCTTGCATACAGTTCGAGAGATTGCCAGGGTCAAAGATCAGCCGCTCTCCCGCACCTTGGCTACTCTGCGTGAGAACACCAGTCGCCTCTACAATCTTTAAGCAGAGAGGGTGCAGTCAGGAGTCTCCCATAGAAGGTTGTAAAACTCATGTTTATGTTTTCTAAAAATCAGGACAAAAATGTCTTTTGCTATATTTTCTTAATATAGAGAGTATAAACATAGGGTGACCATTAAGCCTATTTTGTCTTGAGCGAACTTGGTTTGGAACCTTTTTCCTTTTCTCTACCCTCCAGGATGACCAGTGGCCTGACAGAACATAGACTGGGTTTCGCCTCTGGCTGAGTCCCAGGACAAGGGTGTGTTTGGAGAGCCCATTGGAATGGAGAAAACCAGGACCAGAGATAGGATGTTTTCCTTGAAACCTCGTCATAAGGCTTCTTTCTGCTTCTGGCTGGTGGGTGGGTGGGTGGATGGGGTGCAGTAGAGCAAGGTGAGGGGTGGTGGTTTGCCTCCCAGCCACAATGCTCCAGGGCAGTCAGGGAAGAAGAAAGAGGTTGGTAGAAGGGCGCAACAAGTTTGCCAATCCAAATTACTCTTCTGGGCAGCCTGTGTGTTTGAGCAGTCTGTGAATAAAGTTACCCTCCTACTTGTCTAAGCACATATCAATGTGTAATTTGGTTCCTGGTTCTTAGTTCTAAAAATGAACTCCCAAGGGGAATCTCTTGTGGAGGACCTTCACTGGAGACCTGTCTTTAGAGGTTTATTTTCCTGCTACCAGTGATGTCATCCCCCGTCCTTCTCCAGATAACTTCATATTGGCTCTTGCTGTATCAACTCTGCATTGGCACAGGTGGAAGGACCTCAGCTGCTGATCTCGCTGGTTCCACTGTCATCATTTCAGGGGCCCCTAATTGTCCAGGGAAAGTCCTGGCTAATGGAAATCCAGATAGATTGGGGGACTCAAGGAAGAGGACTCCTTGAGGAAGAGGACCCCAAAGAAGGTGTTCCCACTTATTGATGCCCCCAGGGCTGCAGAGTGTTAAACTGATAAGGATCTAGTTTGCAGCAGAAGTTACCTGCTTGTCTGCTGTTGGGATTCCAGCTGCCCTTTGTTCCATATTTGCCCCCTTTTCCTGGAACACTGGACCAGAAATACTCCTGTTTCATCACATGTGATAGCCCCTCTTGTGCCCCACCCAGGTTGAGAGGTAAACCAGTTTAATTCTCCAAAGCCCTGATGAGGCCAGTCAGCCATGTTCTATTTCCTATTCAGAATAAGCAAGCCTGGTGTCTGTAAGGCTCTCAGTCCCATTCATGGGGACATCTCCTTTGCCTTTGCTTCCTCTATGTCCTTTCTCCATGTTCAAAGTTAGAGGCTCTCCTTTGACTTTGAGCAGCTGGGTCATCTCAAGTCTTGAGCTGTGTTCTGCTCTGTGCTGGTGCCTTGTAAAGGTATATTCATTACAAGCCCTGGAAGGTTATAATAGTCAAGGATTAAGTGTGAAGACATTCTATACTTTGTCCAAAAGGATCCTTTACCCCGGTCTCTTGCAGTGAGACACGCCACCCTGAGTCCCTTGTGTGTTTCTCGGAGGCCAGTAGCTTAAATTGTAAAATTCATCACTTAGCTGAGTTTCTTTAGGTTGTTTTGGAAGGCACATTTGAGCCTTGTAAGTTAAAAGGAAATGACTTAACATTTTTTGTGCCTGGTATTTCTGTCTTGCCCTTGTACACGTTCTGGGCTGGGAAGTAGGTCTTAATTCACTGTTGATGTTCTGTGGATTAGCTGTGTGTTGTCTGTGCCTCAAATTTGGCAGTGTGAGGAATTGGGCTTGTTCTCCTGCTTGGAAGATTTGGGGGACTGCTAAGTATTTCAGAGTGCTTTATTGTCACCCAAATATACTGCAGCATATCCATCTCCTTCACAACAAGCCCTAAAAGTCACTACTGCCTACCTGGGAAACCAACTAGTCCTGCATTAGGGGATTAAAAGTGGTGACTAAATGGATGTCTCCAAGCCTGTGCAGCCTTTCTGCCAAGGTAAAGCACAAGGTGCTATATACTTTTATTTCTAGGATTTAGGATTATCATTTCTACATTGGGGGCGTGAAAGCTGGTTGGCAATGTTTTTGATTTTGGATTGGTGACTTGGTTGTTTTTGCTGTGCTGCTGGAATGCCTCTGTACTACCCCCACCTCTGGCCATCAGCTTCTGAAAATAAAGGATGGACTCTCAGCCAACTACGTGCTCTCCACGTTTGTTTAGAATTCTCAGAGTGAAAACCGTGGTTCAGTTGTTGGCCGGCTTTGTAACCTGAGAATCCCAAAGGTCTCGAGACATTCTCACTAGTATTCATTTGTCTCTCTGCAAAATTATACTGGAAAAAGACATGGTACATTCTTAGAAGTTCTGCTACCTTTGAGCATTAACTTTCATTTTACTGCCTGAGAACTCAGATGTACTGCTGCTGCTTCCTTTGAAAAGTACATAGATAACCCTTTTTTCCACCTCCCAGAGCAATGCAATAGAAGGAAGAAGAATCAAGTACACAGGTGTGGAGTTGATGCATCTGTTCTACTGTGGGCGTTGGACTGTGAACTGATTCCTCTGGGTTAACTTTGGAGAAAATTGTTTCATTACTTGCAGTTAGTCCTTTAATTTTGTACTAATGTATTTTTGAACACATGTGCACAAGTCAAAAGTAATCTGTCAAAATGAAGGCTAAACAAATTTGAGAATGCTAAACAAATTTGAAATCTCTTGCTGCCTAATCTTTGAGATACAGTCACTGACTATGCATTTTTAGTATATTCCTTCACTTTGGCTCAGTTCCTTCTCAGTTGAACGCACAGTTGACTGTGTCTGTTTGTGGCTGAAATTCTGCTCTTGGCCTTTTTGGCATTTACGTTTTTTTTGTATTAAGTTTGGGACCAATACTAATTATTTGCTGCCAATACTTTCATTTTTGTGTCACTTGTTTTTATAAAATAAGGGCAGATGGTCACTGAAATATTAAGTGATTAAGCAAACTCTGTCAGAGATGGCAGCAGCAGAACTGTTGATCAGTTGCCAGCCAGCCCCTGTGATCCCTATGAACACTCATTTGTCACTGATGTTTGGTAGTGGATTCAGATTAAGGAGGGTGGCTAAGCTTGAGTTTCTGTTTTCCTGTTACCCTAAGAGAATTTCTGAGCCACACCTGTAAGAGTATGATGAGTTAAATACATGTGCTACTATACTGATGTACTAGGTATATCATAAAACACAAAAGTCTTTTTATAATGAGAATTTTTTTCTCCAGCAAATACCTTGCTCACCTCAGGGATAAATAAATATACCTCATTCACAGAAACTTTAGTGGTATCATTTAATGATACATGGAGGAGTCGTTTTAATAAGGCTGACATAGGACCATGTTTGAAATGCTACATTTTCTCAAATGCGTCCTCTGTTTTCCTTTGATAATTTTATTTCTGCCAATTTTTGAAATTGTCCTCACTCCACTCCAAGTTGACTCAATGTATTATGAAGGGAAATGAAAAACAAAGGAATCCCGTGGATCCTAAGTAGTAGGGCAAGAGAAGTAACATTGATAGGCAGTAGAATATGAAAAGCATGAACTTGAGCACTATAGCTTTGGATATGAGTGGGCAATGTATTTGCTATGTGACCTGAGAAAGTTACTTTATTTCTCTCAATTTCACTTTTCTCCCTCTTAAGTGGGTTGTTTTGCAAATTAACTGAAATTACATTAATTACATGTAAGTA